CTGGTGTGAGGTGGTATCTCATTGAGGTTTTGATTTGCATGTCCCTGACGTCAAGTGATGTTGAGCACTTTTTCATGTGTCTGTTGGCCATTCTTCTAATGTATTGAAAGCAAAGAATCAGAAACCACCCTGCTGCAAAAACAAGTGTTACCCTCAACTGAGTTCACTTGGTTTCTTAACCTCAACAATACTATTTGACATGGTCCCTTTGTGTGGCCACCTAGAGGCACTGTGCTGCAGTAAGGTTAGGGAGGGATGAATGGGGGAAGGATGCAGGCCAAAGGGAACGGGGGAAAGGAAGGGTGGGTCCTCAGGCAGACGGACTTGAGGAAGGCATGATAGGAAAAATGAGACCTAGATACTGATTCTCTTTAAATTGTCTGTGTGCCTCTTTATCCCTTGAAAAGTCTTTAAATGCAGCCGGGTACCTGTGCCCCAGTTTGAAGATTATTGGTCCACAAGGCCCTACACGGTCTCTGTTCCCCTCACCACATCTTTCTGTCTTCATCCTCTTTTATTGTTACCCTTGCCCTGGTCACGCTGACAGAGCTCTTTGCTGTTCCGTCGATGTTCGGAGCATTCTCCAGCCTTGAGGCCTTTTCCATACTGCTCAAAAGTCACCCTATAGTGAGGCCTTCCTCAACTGCCCTCTTTTAAACTACAGCCTCTCTCTCTCTCTCATATTTCCTATCCTCCTGCTTTTGTTTTCCTCTGTAACACATAGAGGGGTTCAACATGTATTTGCTAAATGAATTAATTTCTGTGCACTATAAATGAGTGTGTCCACATAAGCCATAAAAAAGTGCTCCATATTCTAAGATTATGCTTGGGCTGGGAAACAGGAATCATCTTAGGATGTGGCCATTTTCTGCTCCTAACTGTGCTGTATTGCAGTGTGTCAGGAAGCAGTGTGGGAAGCATATCGGATCTTTCTGGATCGCATCCCTGACCCGAGGGAATACCAGGACTGGGTCAGCCTCTGCCAGCAGGAGACTTTCTGCCTCTTCGACATTGGAAGAAAATTCAGCAATTCCCAGGAGCACCTGGATCTTCTTCAGCAGGTGAGCCTAAACGCTGTATGTTGGAACACTGTCCGAATAGCTCCCAGGCCTCCAGCCCCTGCCCCTTTTCAGTTGGTTTCCACTGCATAAGAGTTAGTTGAGGAAATGCTTAGAGATATCTGGTAAGGCCAACGAGAATTTTATTTTTGCAAAATAGCATTGTACAGGCTGGTTGAAGTGAAGTTAAAGGGAAAAGGGGATGAAAATAGACTTTAGCTCTTCAGTTGACATTTTCTCCTGGTAAAATTACTTTTTATCTTTCTGCAGAGAATAAAACTGAGACACTTCCCTGAGAGGTAAGTACCAACAAAATAGAGTGCAGCACGCTTTTGACTTTTGAAAGATCATATAATGGAGTGAGACTGAGCTATTGTACCTTTATGATATTATGTCAGCACTGAGATCTGTGTAGGTTATTCTGACAGACAAATTATGCATATACTGCGCTAAAGATAAATGAGTATATAAAGGGGAAATGGATAGACCCTAAAGACTGAGACAGATGTTGGCACCATGTTTGCAGATAAAATGGATTCATTACTCTGTGTTAAGTATCTAATGTGTATTTTCAGTTATAAGATAAAGAACAATTTTTTTAAATAGTTTGATTTTTAGAATTTATGGTAAACTGTTAGTTACATCAGGAAAATACTAATACAATCAGAGAGCAACCTGCATTTTGAACTCTCATTTGGTATTCTGTAAAGCATTAGTATTTCTCAAACTAAATTACTGAAGCACTGAGCTATACTCTCAACAAGAACTAAATATCAAATAAGAAAATCAAAATGAGAAAAAGGCAAGGAAAAGTAATTAGATAAAATGATTAAAGAAGAGAGGCAAACTGTAAACACAAATTACATACATTTTATAACATTTAGAAATCTAATTCTGAAGATAATACTAAGAGAGGCACAAATTTGGTATTGCATGAATTACTGACAATTCTTTATAATGCTTTTCACATTTGTTCCTTCATTTCTAGTCCCTTTGCCAACAACTTCTTCCAAGACCTTACTAATTTACACTGTGAAGAATGTCAAATCTGGTCTCCCTAATGGATTTCCCTGCCTCTAACCATTTCCCCTCCTTAACTGGCATAACTGCTGCTGGATTAATACGTCTGAAAATTTTCTTATATTGAGCCCTGTTCAATGACTTTCAAAAGAGTCCTACATCTTCCTCTTACCCTTCTGAATATCCTCTGCCCACTGTTCCCCTCATGTTCTGTGTACAGAAGGCTGATTGGTAAGGATGGAGTCATGTGCATCCTTTGCCCTGACTCCTAGGTAGGGCCAGCCGGTGGGGAGCAGGAGATCAGAGGGAGAGGAGAGAACGAGGTGAGTGAATTTCTCAACTCCCCTCACCCTCAACTTGCAAAGTCTTCAAAAGCTGTTGTCCTCCTTCAACTTCATCTCAGCTCCTGTCAAGCAGCCTTTCCACAGATCCTTCTCTGTCTCTGGTTCATGGCAACTGAACTAAGGGTAGTTTGAGCACCCCACTATTACCAGCCCTGGGGTACTGCACTTGACCTTGTGGTTGCTCTTATACTCTTCCCACAACTTAGTAATTCCTTTTTTAAACTTTCCTCAAATTACCCCACAATGAGTGAGCCATCTGTGTCCTGCCAGGACCTTCACTGAGGCAGAGCACAGGCCAAACTCATCAATTAAGACCTTTCACCCCCTGACCTTTCCAACTTTGCATCCATTACCCATGATCCCACTGTTGCCACCATGCCGTTCCTCACTGCACACAGACCACACCTTCCTCATCCTGGACTCTGACCCCTAGCCTTTCCCTCTTGCCCAGAAAAACCTGCCTTTTCTATGTTCCCTATCCAAATCCTACTCTCCTTCACACTCCTAGTGGAGTCCCACCTGGATCCCATGATGTCTTAACAGCCTATTTGAGCCTGCAGCAATATTTTCCTGCTTTGAGCTTTGTACTCTTTTTGGCACTTACATTTTTATTTAACACTTCCTCGCTTTACCCTATTTTCCTGTAAGAGTTTAAACTCCTCAAGGGCTGGAACCCTTTCGTATCTCTCCACCCACCACCACAGACTTGAGCAAAATCCTCATATATTTTTGTTAATTGATACATCTACCCAACCACTCTTTAGAATTTAGAAATCTTTAGAAAGAATTGCTAAGGAGCAAGAGACAAACATTTTACATTAACTATGATTACCAAGTTGGGAAGGAAGGAAGGAAGGAAGGAAGGAAGGAAGGCAGGCAGGCAGAAAGGCAGGCCTCTTATTTCAAACCTTTCTAGGAAGACAAAACAGGAAATTTTCTCACCTGAGTAGCCCATAAATCTGCCAGTTTCAAATGACTTTAAAATAAAAACGAGTGGAAGAACCCAGTGTCCCAGCTTCCAAATTATAGCTTCTAAGTGATGGTCTAGATTGCCACTGTCATGGCAGAATCACACCCAGTGGCAAAGGATGAGGAAATAGCATCTGACACAGGATCCTGCACAAAGTGGGCTGTTGACTTGTAACTAATGCCATAGCCAGCGCTTTGATAACTATTCCTCTTGGTTGTTTTCTTTTTTACAGCAAGGTAAAACAAGGATACCAAAGTTATAATAGGAGGAAAGAGATCGTACTATGAACAAAGTTCTAAAAAGTGAAAGAAAAAAGGAAAATTGTCTAAATCACAAATGCTCTAATGTTTGATATGAGATCTTTATAAATATGATATCCATAAAAACTATTTCTTGAGTATATAGCGTAATACCGGTAGAAACAAACAAGACTACCTAATTCCAAAACAGTCTGAATTTATATTTAGCCTGTGTGCACCAATATAGTCCTCCATGTTTACATCTATTCTGATTGGTCAGAGGCCATGCCAGGCCAATGGATATTTTGTATATTACCTCTATTAGGACTTTGGGAAAATTGCATGTGTTAGAAATATGTATGTAGATGGTCCCATTGTCTATAGCCAATCAAGATGACCTTACAACACAGAGCACCTAGCCATTCCCTTTGGTCTTCCCATCATCGTGAATCACAGAAAACTGGATCAAATATATTGGTCAACTATGACTAAATTATACTAATACAGACACAAGCTAATAAGACCTAATAGCTTGTAGTAACAAATTTTTCAGTGAGCTTCAAAAGATAGCACTACTGCTACTCCTTTCTATATAAAGCTTGCTAGAATGGGCCAATGTTATAACAGACAGCTGTACAACCACGCCCTTGGATTTGCCCTTAGACATCTTCCAGACTGCCACTGCAAACCTACCCATAACTCCTGCAGACAATGGTTGTGTCCAGAATAGGGATTTAATACTCCTGCATTATCCAGAAATCTCCCTCTCTCCTATTACTACAACCACAAGAGTTATTTTAGTAAATAAACTTAAGGATTTGCAGGTTTGAGGATCTGAGATTTTAGCAAGAACATTCAGTCATAGATCATGTCATGCAATTATCTTTGATGTCAAGGACACAGTGCAAACACAATGGGACTATAAAACATCAAGCCCCAAAGATCAGTTTTGCGTATGGTGAAAATGCTCCCAAGGACCACATGAAAGATGCTTATGGAAAACCCTGGAGTCAAACATAACCATTTTCAGGAGTTGTTTGAATTTTTCTTCAATGAAAATATATTTGAAGATTACTTCTATAATGAAAGAAATAGGCAAACCCAGTTTTAAAGGGTTTTTCTCTAATTTTTAGGTCTATTGAGTATAGGAAAAGTAAGTGCATTTCCCCTATTGTTATCAAGCTCCTTTTCACCACCTCTTCTTTCTTTTCTGCTGTGGTGATAGAAAAGATGAAATATCTACAGCGGAGACATTCGGAGAGCCTGGTGAGACCCCTGTGTTTTCTACAGGTAAGCTTAGATCTCCTCATTCACCTGCTCCTGAACCTTAATTCAAATGATCATGAAAGTATATTATTTAAAAAGCAATCGTTAACTGAAGTTGACAAAATTTATAATATACTTTCTCAAAGCTAACTGATATTTCTAACTTTATAAAATAATTTAAATGCATTGTATAAAACTTGAAAATCTAGAAAAGAATAAAGGTAAAGCCAAATCACCCATTATCCTTCAACTTGGAGACAATCATTACCAATATTTTCAAACAAATAAGTTCAAGATAAATATCTGTCTTGGCACCCTTTATATATTCACAAATGGAAAAATTAGCAGATCTCATTGGCAAAACCATTTAACTGTAACATATTTAGGATGGCCCCAAACTAGGATAGCACCTAGAAGAGAAGAATGGAGAATTCAGCTAGGATCAAAAGTATGAGTTATATTTTTCTCAAGAACATATTTATGTGATCTTAAAAAAAATAGGTAAGAAGGCACCCCACATCTGTAAATTCCAGAATGACAGAAAAAGTATATGAAATTTTGACTTTGTTCTAATGTAAACTTCTCCAGTCTCATTTTTGTGCCTGTAATGTTTTTAATTTCCACAGATGTTGCCAATGTCTCCCTTGGACCCTTCCCTCTCACTCTGGATGTCACACTCTCCAATGACACCAAGAAGCCTACAATAGTAAGAAGTTCTGAGAGTCAATCTAGCTCTTCACATGCCTGGTTTTGTTTTATTAGTAACACAAGAAAAGAGAATGGGTGAATTGGCCATTTAGTATTACTAGTGCTGCATTTTTATCACTCCAATTAAGAGTCAGTGACTCTGTTCTATTTGGTATTATTCCTTCCTCTGGGTACTGAGGGAAAAATAAATTGAAAACTAGAATAAGGTGGGAGGAATTGCAAGAAGCAACTTAATTATAAACTCCAGGACTGCAGGGGCCCTTTTTTCCTCAGTACCTAAGAGAACCTCATCTACAGCAGGTACTCACCAAGCACTAGAATAAATGAATGAATAAAACCTATCAATCAATCAGTCAAGCTCCTTCTCCACTAAAGTGTATTCTTGTGCTGACAGTAAGGGTAGAAGTTTTGCTTTCAGTCATGGTCAGCATGAATAGGTCAGACAAATATCAAAATGATTGAAATCCTGCATGTCAAATGGGGAAAAATAAAATCGGTGTTCTCAGGCAAAGAGGAACGCTGGCTGCACTGCTCTCTTTGTGTGAAAAGGCATGAAGGAGGAGAGGATATGTTACAGAATTTAATGTCGGCTATCAAAAAAGGGGGACATTTTCACTGCTCCAAAATCCTTGATCCAAACATTTGATGCTGAAGCGGGGAAACTGTCCTCTTTACTCAGGAGTGACAGGGCTGGGGCAGCACGAGGTGGGCAGCAAGTTCAGAAGGGAGCAGGAGTACGGGGGTGACACATCTGAGCCCAGATCTTCTCATCCTTACGCTGCCACTGCAACCAGACTTAACTTCCCTGTGGTTTGTGAGACTTCACTACCCTTTCCTCTCCTGGGAACCTCGCCGCAAGGCATGGATCAAAGCCCAGGCAGTGAGGACAAGAAGGACAAGAAGTTCAGTCTCACCAGCTCTACGTGAAAATTCAGGGATGAGAAACCCGCTGGCCATTCTATCTGGCCTGTAGGCCAGATGGCTATGGATTTGCTGGAACTATTGCTATGAACAAAGAATTAAAATTTCCATTTTTCTCAAAAATACTATTCCATAAACAGTGAAAAGTGCTGTTGGAAAAAATTATTAAGATTAAATGTATTTACTATAAAACTTCAAAGACAATTCTAGTTTGCCTTCTCTTTTCCCACATTACTTGTGTCCCATATTCTTCAAAATCTAATATAGGTCCCCCCTTCTGCAGTAACTATCCCCTGAACATTTCATTTCATATTCACCACATCCCTCTCTTATCCTTTTCACCACCTGCATCTATCACTTATTCTTTCATTCACCAACATTTTACTAAAATCCTGTCATGTGCCAGACATTGGGGTATGTGCCAAAGATCCTAAGATGAATAAGACACGGTTCCTGCCTTCAAGAAATTTATAATGCAAAATAAGTACAAAATAATCTAAATGCTGTACTTGAAGATGGCAGATGTATAGAATGGAACAAAATGATAGACCAGAACAGGTTGCAAAGCATGTAACCCCCAGTCATGTATATTCACAGAGAGTTTTGTGCATAAGTGGCCCCCTTTTTTTTAACTTTGGGAGATTTAATGAAGTGTGAGAATCATACTGGATTCAGGAGATTATATGTGGGGTGACAAGATTAGCATATAAAAAGACTGTAGGTGAGTATGGCATAGGTATTAAATGAGAAATTCAAATATTATTCATTGCTTCAGGAGTTTAGAGGAGGCAAAGATTTCTGCCCTGAGTGATCAGAGAAAATATTATTTTAAATGAACCATAAAATATTAGTAAGAAGTAAGAAAAGTGTGTATGTGTGTGTGTCTCCATGTTTTAGTGCTGGAGGTGAGCATGGGGAGCAGTGAGGAGGGTCTCCAATCAGGAAATTAGCACAAGCGATGTGATATCTCATCAACAGTGAACAAGCTATCTGGTAGTCAGTGCAGGGAGAAATGACACGGACTACAATTGTTCGAGCAGCAACAATTCCATTTATAATTGCACCAAAAAAAAAATAAGATATCTAGGAATAACCTAAGCAAAGAGGTGAAAAACCTGTACTCTGAAAACTATAAAATACTGACAAAAGAAACTGAAAATGATACAAAGAAATAGAAAGGCATTCCTTGCTCATGGATTGGAAGAATAAATATTGTTAAAATGTCTATACTACCCAAAGCAATTTACACATTTAATGCAATCCCTATCAAAATACTGATAGGATTTTTCACAGAGCTAGAACAAAGAATCTTAAAAATTGTATGGAACCACAAAAGACCCCAAATAGCCAAAGCTATCTTGAAAAAGAAGAGCAAAGCTGGAGGCATCACAATTCTGGACTTCAAGTTATATTACAAAGCTGTAGTAATCAAAACAGTATGGTACTGGCACAAAAAATAGACATATAGATCAATAGAACCGAATTGAAAACCCCAAAATAAACCCACAACTATATGGTCAACTAATCTTCAACAAAGCAGGAGAGAATATCCACTGGGAAAATGACAGTCTCTTCAACAAATAACGTTGGGAAAACTGGACAGCAACATGCAAAAGAAAGAAATTGGACCACCTTATTATACCATACACAAAAATAAATTCAAAATGTATTAAAGACCTAAATGTGAGACAGGAAACCATAAAAATCCTAGAAGGGAATACAGGCAGTAACCTCTTTGACATCAGCCATAGCAACTTATTTCTAGATATATCTCCTGAGGCAAAGGAAATAAAAGCAAAAATAAACTATTGGGACTACATCAAAATAAAAAGCTTCTACACAGTGGAAAAAATCAATAAAACTAAAAAGCAGCCTACGGAATGGGAGAAGATAATTGTCAATGGCATATCTGATAAAAGGTTAGTATCCAGAATATATAAAGAACTTATAAAACTCAACACCCAAGAAACAAATAATCCAATTTAAAAAAGGGCAGAAGACATGAACAGACATTCTTCCACAGAAGAAATACAGATGGCCAAGAGACATCTGAAAAGATGCTCATCATCACTCATCATCAGGGAAATGCAAATCAAAACTACAATGAGATATCACCTCACACCTGTCAGAACCAGTAAAATCAACAACACAAGAAATAATAGGTGTTGGCAAGGATGCAGCGAAAAAGGAACCCTCTTGCACTATTGGTGGGAATGCAAACTGATGGACTGTGGAGAACAATGTGGAGGTTCCTCAAAAAGTTAAAAATAGAATTACCCTCCAATCCAGTAATTGCACTATTAGGTATTTATCCAAATAATACAAAAACACTACTTCAAATGGATACATGCACCCCTATGTTTATAGCAGCATTATTTACAATAGCCAAATTATGGAAACAGCCCAAATATCTATCAGCTGATGAATGGATAAAGAAGATGTGGTGTATATGTATGCAATGGAATATTACTCAGCCATCAAAAAGAATGAAATCTTGCCATTTGCAAGGATGTGGGTGGAGCTAGAGAGCATAATGCTAAGCTAAATAAGTCAGTCAGAGAAAGACAAATACCATATGATTTCACTCACATGTGGAATTTAAGAAATGAAACAGATGAACATGCGGGGGGGAAGAGAGAGAGAAACCAAGTAACAGACTCTGAACTATAGAGAAGAAACTGATGGTTACCGGAGGGGAGGTGGGTTGGGGGATGGGTGCAATAGGTGATAGGGGTTAAGGAGTGAACTTGTCACGATGAGCACAGGGTGATGTATGGAAGTATTGAATCACTATATTGTACACCTGAAACTAATATAATGGTGTAATTTAACTAACTGGAATTTAAATAAAAACTTTAAAAAAAATAGGATATCCTACCTGGGCCTACTCAGTAGTTTAATAAAACAAAAACACAAATTTTAATGAAAAAATATATAAAAAATAAAAAATAAATAAAATTGTTCAAGCAGATTGGGATCAGACTGGAGAGAGCCTTGATGTCAGGAAAATAGTTTGGATTTTTATTCCATAGGTAATAGAGTATTACTGAGGATGCTGGGTGAGAAGCATGGAAAAGTAATCCAGTGGCTAAGGATAAATTAGAAGACTTCTCACTAATACATCTAAAGAATTTATTTAAATGTCTCATGTGAACTTTAAATATGCCTAGTGAAATGGTAAGCTTCTAGAGGATAATACCATATGCCATATTTTTCTTTTAACTTCCCATATGTCCTAGCACTGTTCTATACCCGTATAGATGCTTAATGTGTGTTACTTCAATGAATGAATGAATGAATGAATGAAATCTTTTTGTTAAACAAACATCAGTAGTCTGGCAAGTGTGAATCTACATCCTCTGTGTGCCCTATTAAGGTTAGAGGCTATGCTGCTGTCCCATGGAAGAGAGGACCTTGTGATAAGAAATGAGGAGAAATTACATTGACTACCACCCACATGAGATTTGTCCCTCATGTCATTTTTTTTTTAATTTTTTTATTGTTACGTCCTCATGTCATTTTCTATTGGTTGGTCTCTTTCAGCCTCCACAGCTCTAATTTCACTAATAAGAGAATATGTACATTACCAAAGACATTCCATTTTCTACAAACATGTTTTTTACTCTTTCAAGAAAGCTGTTCAGATTTCCTGATCATCTGGCTACCCAATATTGAAAATCTGTCAAACCCCAAGTTTGAAACCCAGATCTAGGCTTGCTCTGTACCCTGGGAGCCCAGATGAATTCATAACAGTGAGAGACTCGTGCCTGTTCCCAGTCCAGACGGCAAGAAGGATGACCCCTGGCCCTTGTGATCAGAGGCCAAATCCAGCTCCTCAGAAGAGTGCTTATCTTCTAAGTCACATGCTACCAAAGGTGGCCCAAATATGCCATTCCTTCTGAGAGATATTTCAAACTCTTTCTTGACCTGACAGTGCTTACTAACTAGTTTCAATGTGAAGTTTAAGCACAAATGGTCTCATTAAACCAGTCTAGACTCTTCTCTAAAAAAGATTGTATTAATATCTCAGCATCCTTAGGTTATTTTGGGTAATCCGATCCTCATCAAAGAGTATTCATAAAGTTACACAAGAATGTGGCACAATCCCAGTGATGCTCTGGCAGTATATATGAATTATGGGTGTGTCTATATGTGTAAATGCTTTCATGAAGAGCGCATAGTCATAAAATTACAGTGTTCTCAAGGATTCTAAACAGTTAACTCATTGGAGCTTTGGTACTTTGTCTCTCAATGTAATTCAGAGGACAATTCTAGTTAATAGGATTTCAATTCTAAAAGCACTTGAGCCTTCATAATACCCTTCTTGAGACAATATCAATATATATTATTTAGTATTACCCTATGCTTATGCTTTACGTTAATAAAAGACTTTTGTTTTTTTAATTGAGGAAAGAAAAGTTGAATCCACTAAGGTATCCAAGGGCCCACTGGAGCAGAAGGTGGAGCTGAGCATCACTCTGGCAAATCAGAGGTTCAAGGCAGAACTCGCTGACTCCCAGTCCTCATATTATCAGGAGCTGGCAGCGAAGTCTCAACTCCAGGTAAGTGAACCCACCCCACACAACCACAGCCCAAGTCATGAATCAGAATCTGAGAGCCAACAGGACCTAAACCATTTGAGCTAATAATTCCAACTTCTTGTAACTAGGCCTTCATTTTTAACCATTAGAAAGAAATCAAAGGGGTGCCTGGGTGGCTCAGTTGGTTAAGTGACTGCCTTCGGCTCAGGTCATGATCCTGGAGTTCCAGGATCGAGTCCCGTATCGGGCTCCTTGCTCAGCAGGGAGTCTGCTTCTCCCTCTGACCCTCCTCCCTCTCATGCTCTATCACTCTCTCTCTCTCTCAATAAATAAAATAAAATAAAATAAAAAAATAAAATAAAATAAAATAAAATATAATAAAAGAAAGAAAGAAAGAAATCAAAAACTGCAATAGGCCCAAAAATGTTAGGGCAAATGGATCTCTAGGAAAGTTTTTCTATTCTACCTTCTCTAGCTTAAAAGTCACTTATGTTTAGGTTTTCTTTAAATATTAGTAGGTTTTTAAATCTCCTTTAACTGAAAGTCACTAAGCACATATTCTAAAGCTCTAAAATGTTCATTTAAGCACCAACTAGGGAGTATGCTGAGTTGAAATATGAATTTTTAACCCATATTGTCTTACATAATATTTCCACTTTTGTGGTTTAAAGCAATTTCAAGCCCTGACATTTTTCATGGGTAAAAGTGAAGGGCAATTATGTTGTCCATGCCATCCAGTAAACTTAGGAGCTATCCCAAGGTATCTCTTCCATCTCTGACCATCATCAGCTCTTCCCACCTCTTCACTTGCTGCAGGAGGAATCCAAAGCTCTGTGCTGACAGAGCTTCTGTACACCATGGTGGCTTCTGTACACCATGATGAGAGTCCTGCCTTCCTTTCTAGCCTCATCTTAACACTAGCTCCTGCCCATCCCCCTCCTTTGCGCACTACAGGACATACAAACTGCTTGCAAATCTCTTCTCACCTTTAGCCTTTCCATATGCTGCCTCCTCTGTCTTCAGTGTCCTTTCCCTGGGTTTCATTTCACAAACTTCATCAAGGAAATTTCTCTCCACCCATCCTGGGTTCAGTACCTCTCCTCTGAGCTAACACACAGTACCCACTGCTGTCACAGCAGTTATCACCCTGTCTTGAGACTGTTTGTTTACACGTCAGCGGCCTTTCTTGTCTCCCTTTCTCCCTTTCTCCCTCTTCGCCTCTTCACCCTCACTGCCTTCAGGCTCTGGGTGTCCCCTTGAGGGCAGGAACAGTTTCTTTATCTCTGAGGACTTACCTGCTAATACGGAGTTGGGATGCACTTAACTATTCAGTAATTGTAGAAATGCAACTGAAAAATAGATGCATTCATAAGATAACATAACCATGATCTACATTTATGGATAGCCCAAGCATCTCACACAGCATGGCCAGGGAACCCACAGGCCCCTACTTCTCATATGTGGAGAATTCAAGGCTTACTTCCTCTCAACTGGAGAGAAGATGAATAAGCAAAAATTTTAAACCTCCAACCACTCCCTGCATCACCGTTCAGTCAATAAAATGTAAAGAATCATTTCTACAAACTTCAAAGAGAAAGCATCAGCATGGGCTGTTTATGAACCAGAGAAGTACTTAGACATGGATTATTAGATAGAAAGAATTAAAGAATAGTCCTTTAACTTCCTATTTGTTCTTTGAAATATTCTTTTCAGAAAGTTCTTAGTGTAGTCAGAGTATCTTCAAAATTGGATAGTTGGCCAAGATTCAAACCCAAGCAGCCTGGCACCAGAACCCCTGTTCTTAACCATTATGCTAGACTTCCTATTTTTTCCCAAATAAATATCTAGGAGGCGGGGATTTTTGTACCATCATCAAATAAACATGTCCATTCTAGACTCTGAAAACCTTATTAGCCAAAAGATGATGTCTTGCTCGGTCTGTTCCAGAGACCCATCATATCAGTCCTGCTGGTTCCTCTGCATGGTCGCTGGCGTCTCTGAAATGGAGCCCCTCTGCTTAGAGCATCTGTTCCCTTTCCAGGCTCCTGAGCAATCCAGACCACCTAGCAGCCTGCCAACACATAACTAACCAGCTCCACCACAGCCCATACTTGCATCAGCACAGCCATTCAGGCCTCATCAGGAATTAATGGACAGTGCTTTGCAGTAATTTAATTTCCACAATAAACCTAATGAGCAATTTAATACAAATGTCAAAAGGAATGCTTAGTTGTTGTCTGAATGCTTTCTCCTGTGCAAACATTCAAGAGAACTCAACACGGCTGCCTTTTTATAGCCCCGTTAACATACATTCCAGCAGAATCAAGGAGGCCCCTGTGCAGTTAGTACTATTAATAAGGTTAACTGGGCACTTAATTAGCAATTTAGTGGTTAGCACTCCATGATTGGAAGGTCCCCAGAAGATTATTTAGCAGAATTAACTGAAGACCTTTGTCATCTCCTCCCCAGATGCCTTCTGCACCCTCCTAAGCAGAGCTGACTCTTAATCAATCACAGGCAGGTTCACAAAGAGGACATGGACAGTAAGCAAAATTCCCCTCCACTGCAGCCAGTGCTGTGAAGCACTCCTGGAGGGGAGGACGGCTCTCCCTGGGGATGTTCCCTGCTGCCCATGCTGCAGCTGTGGGCTTCTCTGGAAGCAGTTCTGTGCTTGATTGATCGTTTTCATCCATATAACAGCATCTCTGATACCCTGGACAAGAAAGAGGAACAAGTCAGGGTCTGAATCTTCTGCGCCAGAAACTGCTGCTCACACTTAAACGTTCAGTCCCAGGTGTTGTTACTGGAATGGCATGACAGATGCCTTGTGGCCCCAGAGCCATTTGTCACGGGAGGCCAGAACAGACCTGAAGCATGTACACAGTTCCCTCCTATCTGCCCCCATAATAAAAACCAGATCCACATCACCTAAACTCCTAGCTCTCCTCTGTTAAACCTATGGTGGGGAAGGTAGTGGAGGCACAGAAACTTATTACTCAGGCTCCCTGCCCCGGACCCCTAAGGGGACCCTCATCCTGTCCATCCCCCCATTGAGTCTTTCAAAAACAACTGACCGAAGCCTTGCTCTGTTTGCTCTTCTCAGGCTCCATGGTATGTGGCCACTGAGGAAGTAAAAGAAAATTGGGCTATTAAGGAGCTAGTAATCCAGTAGGAGAGAGAAAGACTAAGTAAATCAATAATGCAATATCTTCGATTCTTTGCCCATTGTGTGTCAGGCACTTATTAGTTATTCCTTACAGGAACCTCACAATATAGGTATTGTTATCCCTTTTTGGCTAAGGAGATCAGATTCAGAGAGACTGAGCAATAAACTCAAGGCCTTACAGCTAGAAAGTAACAGAACAAGTATTTAAACTCAAGCCTACACAGCTACCTCACCACCCAAAAGCTGGCCTACCTTCATCACTGCAGTTACTAAATACTCGGGGGATTAAAACTATTTTTAACATTGATGCAAAAAAATATGATTTAGAAGGTAAAGCAGTCTGCTGGAAAAAGGAATCCATGATGCATTTCAAAGCCCAGTGTAAGTGATTTGGGGATTATCTGTGCATCACTGCCCTAGTCCTTGGCATAGATAATGTAGAGTCAGCAGCGATTTTAGATACAGTGACAATGCAGTGGCATGTCGATGAGTTTAGAGAATGAAGAGAGGCACTCAAGTCAATTTAACAAAATTTGCTGAGTCCCTACCATGCGGATGATGATCTGCTACGTACTGAGAGGGAGGGAGATGAAGATGAGTAAATAAAACATGGTGCCTGAGCCCAAGGAGCATAATCTCAGTGAGGGAGACATCATGCAGCTCATAGACTGTTTTATGGGACATACTGTAATAAATTCTAGAGTAGTAGGGAGAAGAAATAATTGGGCCTGACTTCAGGGCTCTACAGATGCTTTTCAATGGAGAATGTGTTTGGGGTGCCCGGGTGGCTCAGTCGGTTAAGCATCTGCCTTTGGCTCAGGTCCTGATCTCAGGGTCCTGGGACTGACCCTTGCATCAGGCTTCCTGCTCAGCAGGGAACCTGCTTCTCCCCCTGCTCATGCTCTCTGCTCTCCCTCTCCCCGCCCATCTCTCTCTCTCTCTCAAATAAATAAATTCAATCTTTAAAAAAATAGAGAATGCATTTGAGCTGGCTTTGAAAGATGGGGGCATGGGAAGTCAAAAAGCAGAAGGTAGAAGTTGCATCTTGGGCTAAAGGGGAAAAAAGTCATAGAAGTCTGGAGGAAGTACATGTTGTATTTGAGAGATAGGCCTTGGTCTAGTGAGACTAGAGGATACAGTATTGACCAAGGGGGTAATGATGGCAGGAAGAACAAATGATAACGTACTTGGGGAATGGAGGCGGTAGATTGTGGAGGGTCTTAAATGTCATGCTAAAGAACTGGACCTTCTTCAAAGATCAGTGCAGCCCATCAAGGGATTTTTAGTGAAGAACAACAGATATGGAATGACTACCCTTGGAAATAAAAATGTGGTCAAGGAGACATCTCCTCCTTTTCCTCCTGCCCCAACATATCCCTCCCCCAAAATTTCTCCTTCCTTTCCTCACGCACACCAAGAAAACCCTTTCAGCAATATAGGAGGGGAGATGCGAAGGGTACACCTGCCATGGGAATAAGAACATGGTAGAAACAAAACGTATATGGGATTCAAACCACCAGGAGCTGGTGACTGGATGTGAGGGGAACAGAAGGAAGGTATTAGGGTTGCTGGGTTTTCTGGCATGGAAGCTGCACAATAAATGTTTATGAACCTGACGAGGATAGAGAGCCCAGGAGGAAAGGCAGATTTGGAAAGAAGAGAATGACTCTGGTTTGGACACAGTTAATTATCGATCAAGTTGGGATATTCATGTGTAGAACTCAAAGCTAGGTGTCCGGTGATCACTGAAGCCATGGGAGAAAATGAGATCCCCCGAGGAGAGGCAGAGGAGGGTGGGCACAGGGAAGAAAGGACCGTGCCAGGTCCCTGCTTACCTGTTCAGCCTCACTTTCACCCTGCGCTCCCCTCCAAGCTTCACTACTAATCAGTCCCTTCCTCTCGGTCTCTCTTGCCTCCCAGCCTGCACAGGCGTGAGCCGGATGGGGCAGTGCCCATCGATGTGGCAGTGTGTCCCCGGAGCCTAGCGGGGTACATACAGTCAAGCTTCCTGAATAAGTGGGACAGCGAGTTAAGGAGGTTGAGAGTGCAAACTTCCAGAGTCTTTACATTTAAAGTAGAGAGTGCAGACAAGAATAAGATGGAGTAAAGAAAACTAAGAAAGTGGTCCTTGAGATAGAAGAAGAACCAGGAAAAAAAGTAGGCACACCGTGGAAGAAGAATGGAAAATGCCAGTGGATTTGGAGAGAGCCAAGAGGCAACAGCCTGGAGAAAATCCTCCCTCTTGGGCAAAGTCAGAGGCAGAAGCCAGACTGTAGTGGGTCAGGGGTCACTGAGTATAGCGATTGTAAAATGTTCTGATAATATGCCTCATTAGCAAGGTCAAACTAAGAAAATTTATTGTAAAGTCCACATAAATCTAACCTATTAGAGTCTGCTTGTACCATTTTATTTAGTTACAGCGCCATTTTGATTTTAGTAATCTCTTTAACATTATATTTTCCAAATCATCTCATTCCACTCAGAAAATATAATAGTTATTCTGTGTATAAATAAAAATACTGTAGCCAAAAAAGTTTCTTCCAAGTACCACCCTAAAGTTATTTCATATTCTATTTAAAGTAACCATTAAAGTAAGAACTACCCCATTGCAGCTTTTTTTTTTTTTTTTTAAGAGGGAGAGAAAGTGTGGGGTGGGAAGCGGCAGAGGGAGAGGGGGAAAGAGAATCTTAAGCAGGCTCCACTGAGATCATGACCTGAGCCAAAATCAAGAGTCAGATGTTTAAACAACTGAGCCATCAAGGCACCGCCCAATTGCAGCTTTTAAATAAATAGCAAAACACTTTCCTCTGGATTTCAGCAAAAATAACTAAGAACAGTTTGGCCTCAATAGTTGCTTCACTTTTCCATTTTCATATTTTCCCCCAAACTCCTCAAAAGTGTTTAGGCTTTTTTTCAGTTAGGCAAGATCTGACCCAGCAGAGCCAAAGAGTGTTGCATAAATTTCTTTCTTTCTACAGATGGAAAAGGTATTTAAGAAACTCCCAGGATTCAAAGAAATCCATGTGCTAGGATTTAGGTAAGTAAGAGAATCGGACTCTTCTCAATTTTTAAATTACTTTCTCCCTGTCCTTTTTTAAAAGCAATGTCTTGAGGATTATAAGGTTCTCCCCCCCTGCCCCCCAGTTGTTTAGCCCTGCCAGATCCTGAAAACTGAATACATTTCAGATAAAGGAATTGTCTAATTAGAACATGACTCTAGGTGATTTTTTTAAGGGATAACACAGGAGCTGTATTCCTTCCTCCCTCTGGAGTCAGAAGCACTGCTCTCTGCAGAGAGCTCATCTGCTGTCCTTGGCAATGTTATTAATGAACCTCTTAGGAGAACACCTCAGTAGAGACAGGTCAAAAGAAGAAGCAATTAGTTACCTTGGTGTCTGATTGCCTGGTTCCCTGTTGAATGTTAAATATCACCATCATTGAAACGAATCAGGCTGACCCTAGGGAATCAGGTGAAACTAAAAAAAGGAGTACCTATGGGGATAAAGAAGTTGAAGGAATGGGGTAGAAAGGGACAGAGACAGAAACAATACTTCCCAAAATATACATTTTATTACCATTTTGATGTCTGAGCTATAGTAATGCATTACCATGCAACAATTATTAAATTACAATTTTAAATAAAGGAAATGAAATTAAAGAATAGTGCCATGCTAAAGCAGGGTTGAGTTATGTTCCCCTGGCTTCCCCACGAGCAGGCCTATATCCATTATCATCTCAACACTCTATAATCTAGGTGGGTTCCTGATTTTTGGCAAGCAGTTTTGCATCCTCTTTCTAAGTTCTCATTCAAAATATCTACAGGCAGGGTCATAATATATTTTTTTAAATGTGCCACAGGGTATATGTCAGCCCTGGTGTGTCAGAATGAGACTCCCTGCCCCAAAGGGGATTTGTAAAGTGGGTAGAGAAGGCCTCCCCCAAAGTACTTCCTGGCCCCTCCACCTATTGTCTTAAAGCTAGAAGGTGTCCAGAGCAAGTTTCCACACTCACAAAGAATAGCTTCTGGGCAATCTCCACCAGTTCTTTCCTTTCAAAGCTATCAGGCCTCTCCGATTTGTATGACTCCAGAGGAAGAAAGTATTGAAAAGTGAAAGTTATAAAAGATGAAACCTTTAATATGTACACAGCAGACTCATTTTTCTTTATTTCAAGATGGTGCTCCACAATATTCCATGTGAAATCAGATGGATTAGAGAGAAATAAAAGGTGATAGTAGAATATTCTGCATAGATGGCAAGGTCTTCTGGACAAGCCACTGCAGCTAAAGAGCAGATGTTTCATTTAAAGCTGAGGGAAATGATACGAACAGTCCTCCTGGTGAATGTTCAAATTGCTCATTAAGCCCTCCCTTCAAATAAATGAAAAACTAATTAAAAAAAATCTATTTCAGGAGAAAACAAAAATGTTAGGATGATGCAATTTCACAGGGTCAAAAAGGTATATCCACTGAAGCTGCCTTTTCCCCATGTGTTTATCTCTGTAAGACGTCATTCTTATTCCTGCCAAAAATGCTTATAAAGTAAATTTGACCATATGTTCCCAATGATTTCCATTATGGAATGAATATTTAGTCTCCCAGAAAACATTTTGACCCTGAATATTATAAACAATATGCCTACGAGTATGGCAAGCTTTTAATCATAACTAACAATGCTCAGAATATAGTAAACTTAGTATGAAGGAAATTGCTTTCTCATGGAGCCAGATCCCCTAAAACCCTATGAGTCTCCTGATATTGTCTTTATGTCAGCTCATTTGTATAAAACCTGATCTACAATTTAATAAGTATGTTTTTTATTAGTGACCTCATTTGATTCTCCCAACACAACTGGGAAGTTGTGAGGACATCTGTTGTTAACACAATGATAAGGACGAACAGAAAAAGATCCACTTTAAATACTGCTTTATCTCTTACAGCGAATATGGGAAACTATTAACAATCATTTAATCTGGTTGGAGGGTATACTCCTTCAAAGACTAGTTCATAAATGTCCATAGCAGCTTTATTTGGAATAGCTGAGGACTGGAAACAATTCACGTGTCCATCAACAGAGCAATAGAGAACACAAATTGTGGACTATTGTTACCGGAGACGACTACTCAGCAGAGGAAGGAACTATTAGAATACACAGCAATATGGTTTCATCTCAGAATAACTATGTTGAGTGAAGAAAGCCAGAGGAGAGGGAGTATATTATTATTCCATTTATATGTAACTCTAGAACACACAAACTACTCTGTAATGACAGAAAACAGATCAGTAGTTGCTTGGGGAGGGTGAGACAGAAAGGATAGGGGGAAGGGTTTCAAAGGGGCATGAGTAAACCTTTGGGAGGAATTAATTTGATTGTGGTAATGGTTGCACAGGTGTATAGTATCAAACTGAGATCAAATTGTACACCTTCAACATGTGCAGTTTGTTTCATGACAATTATATTTCAGTGCAATATACATATTTTTTTTTAAATGAGCAGGACTAGGGTCTTGGCTCAGGGAACCCTGCCTCTCTCCAAACTACAAGCCACTGCTGAAAGCAGCAGGCGGCAGGCCCTAAATGAATGTCTAGTTGGTACAGAAGTCCCTCCCACAGAGCAGCCCCAATGATAAAGTCATAGATTCTTCCCTGCTTCCAGAGAAGGAAACTAGTAGCAGTCTATTTCAGTCATATTTTATCAAGGGATAAAAGTTAAACGAATTCAGGGGCGCCTGGGTGGCTCAGTAGGTTAAGCGTCTGCCTTCGGCTCATATCATGATCCCAGGGTCCTGGGATCGAGCCCCAGCATCGGGCTCCCTGCTCATCAGGGGAGTCTGCTTCTCCCTCTCCTTCTCCCTCTGCCTGCCACTCTGCCTACTTGTGCTCTCTCTCTATCTCTTTGTCAAATAAATAAATAAAATCTTAAAAAAAAAAAGTTAAATGAATTCATACTCCAGGCAGAAAGAGCAGCAACACAAATCCCATCACATGTGTAGAAAGTCTTTGTCAACAAATATCATCTGAAATGTAAGATGAGAAAGCTGAATATAGCTTTTAAACTAAATTCATATATACGCCCAGAGGAGTCCAAAATCTATTTGTCAGTTTGATGACCAAATGGCCTCTTTTGAGGCATGGGCAGGTAGTGGCATAGAAAATGGGCCCAGGCTTGAAGTCAAGCAGGACAGGGTTCAAATCCTGGCTCTGCCACCTTCCAACTAACAACTTCCCCTCTGTGTATGTGTTCCTTTTTCTGTAAAATGGGGATTGTGTTGTCAAAGGATTAAATGAGGATGCATATAAACTGCCTGGCGTAGACCACCCACTCAGTAAACAGGTGTTTATTTTTCTTGCAACCTGTTCCATGATGAATTGTACCATTCCCTCAAGGCTTACTGATTAAAGCAATTTGAAAAATAATCAGTCAACCAAACACCAGTTCCAGTGTCCAGTCTCAGATAAATTACTTCCAGGATTAAATTAATCATTTAATGCTACTCAGAGGATGAGTTTATTCATTTATAAAGTACTTTCTTTAAAAACTTCCTGGCACCAGCACCACCCAAAATGTAAGGTGTTTATGATGTATTTGCCACCTCTTTGGGAAGGATATGAAGAAATCAAAGAGTTTACAAAGAAAACCAAAAGTACATGTGGAACACTGCATCTGAGATAAATGATGTACTATATGTTGGCTAATTGAATTTAAATTTAAAAAAATAAAAATAAAAAGTATATACAATCTTTGAACAAAGATGGAATCCTAATTGGAAACATCATATAATTCTGTTTACTTCCTGAGATTCATATGGCTCTCAAAATTCCCATCCAAATTCTGATGGCAGTTTATGTATTTCCTTCAAAGCTCTGGGCAAACATGGGAGACAATGGAAAGAAATCTCTCTCTCTCTCGCTCTCTCTTTCTCTCTCTCTCTCTGTGTCTCTTTCTGGTATATGAAATGATTCAGTAAATGTCTTAATAAATCTCATAAAAATTCTTTCTCCCTTGCATGTTCCCATTGCATATGGTGAAATGAAGACCAAAGAAAGGAAGAGATGGGTAATTTGGACTTTTCTAATGTTTTGAAATATAGTACCTTTTCCCCCACAAATTTATATGCTGATCTTTTACAAGTAATTTTTACATACAAAGTCTGGGATAAGCCAATGACTTTTTATTGGTGTCTTATTTAAATGAGAGTGATTGATCAGTTACTCAGTAGTAGAAAAAAACTCAAGTCAAAATCACTACGTGAGATAAGTATGTAAACAATGATTTGATCAGTGAAAGTGTATTCTGTAAAACTCAAAATCCAATTAGAAAAACATAAAAACACATTTCTGTGAGGCAAGCATGTTTTAACAATTTCTTAAATATCATTTGTGATGGGAAATTGTCTGAATGCACACTTGTACAAGCAGCCAACCTAAGTCTGGAATAAAGCAGAGAAACTAATTTGCTCCTTAGTTCCAAGGTCAGTTTGAATTGTGACAGAGCCCACTATACCTTGGAGAGCTCAGTAATAAGAATCCAGCTTTGGCTTCTCTAATTGACTAGTGAAATAATGAACTGTAGACTCTGACTGTGTGGCCCAAAGAACTGCCAAGAGTACACATTATCAGTCCCTGTGGCTTTAAAACATTTCTGCATCTCTCTGTGTGGATTTATGGCATAAACTAAAAGGTAAACCTGATCTGAAAGGAAAGAGTTATGGAGATTCCTATTTCATTTTTATATGCAAAAAGGCATCAAGTCAATAAATACAATAATAAATATGGTTAATTATATACTACTTCCCTTTCTCTTTTCTCACACCTTTCTTCTAAGGTATCTTAAAAGCAGCTTGAGGGAAAAAATTTATGTTTGATTTAGAATTTTGTTTTTTAATTAAAAAATATTTCTTGAAAGAAGTAGAAGAGAAATAACCTTAAGAATTGAAGCTTTGGGATGCCTGGGTGGCTCAGTCAGTTAAGCATCTGCCTTCGGCTCAGGTCATGATCCCAGGGTGCTGGGATTGAGCCCCATATTGGGCTCCCTGGTGAGTGGGGAGCCTGCTTCTCCCTCTCCCTCTGCCTGCCGCTCCTGCTGCTTGTGCTCTCTCTCTATCAAATAAATAAATAAAATTTAAAAAAAAAAGAATTGAAGCTTTGACTTGGTTACGATAGTACATACTACTGTCCCACTGCTGTATCCTATGCTGCTATTTCATAGACCCTCCTACGGAAGGCTATTTGTAGAAAAAAGGACACTTCATCCTTCTTGCTGATTGGCACTTCATGACTTTACTTAAAAGGCCACCAAAAACACTGGTGAATAATAGCAACTCTTAACAATTAATACTTTTTCATAAAGAATAAGGTAAAAATCTATGATCACTTGATTCAGTTAGTAGCCAGTCTTCAAGCTGGACTTAACCCCCATCCTGGCATTCTGTCTAACAACTAAAATATATGTCAGTTCTTCTTCCACATTTCAAATTTTTAATAAACATTTAAACTAGTTTTGAAGTGGGATATTCTTTAAGAGCCCATCAGGAAAGAGGATGAAGCTGTCTGAAATGTTTATAGCAACATAATTACTCTCTTTATAAAGCATGTAACAATGGGTTTGGGTGGAATGTGTCCTCTGCTGTCTACAGTTCAAGCTCCATAGAGACACGACTTATGGCCATCTTTAAGAGAGACAGTGCAGAAGTAAAAAGCCCTGCAAGTGACCTCCTGTCTTTTGATTCCAACAAAATTGAGAGTGAAGGAGTCCCTCGTGGAATGATGGAGGAGGACAAGCAACCAGAAATCTATCTCACAGCTTTAGACCTCAAAAAACTGATCAGCAGAGCACTGGAGGAAGACAAATCCTTGGATCTGGAAACAGTTCAGTTCGCTGATGGTCAGTTGGTGATTTCATAGTTCTGGTTTTATCCTCATTCCAACAGCAACATTAGTAGGTGCAAATGTCTCATGGTCACTGTCATTTCAACTTGGGCCTTATAGAGTCAATCATTTCTGTGACAGGAACATCATGAGTGGTATAATTTCTCTTTCCTCACTCCAACCTGCGTGTCATTTGATGAGCTATTGGTGCTACTTCACATCAAGAATAGGTCTAGGAGAAGCCCAGAGTTTCAGTTCAGTAGTTAGCCACAATCATCCGGTGGAGTCCAGGTGTAAAGAAGCACCCATGGACAGTTCTGTTCCATTGGCATAACCCAAACAGATTCCCCCACCTAGTAAATTGGTTGAGTCCCAGAAGGAAACAGATGGCCATTCAAATTGGGATAGCATGAAGAGAGTTTGATAAAGGAACGGTTTATAAAGTTTTTCCTAATACACAAAAGAACAGGACAGTTCCCTGGTGCCTGAGCAGCAAGGCCCCATTACTGCCTCTAGGCATGAAGGGTTTGCCTAATGATCTAAGCCTTCCCAAGACCAGAGGGCAAAAAGCCATTGATATAGTCCATATAAATCAACCTCCTAGGGCATAGAATAGCAGGGAGAGGAGAGGAGCATGGATCTAAAAAATTCAACAAGATCATCAGGCACACTTAGGATTCTCAGAGGGTACCTGGAGGGACCCAAGAGCCTAGAACTCCTCGTTATGCCCAGCACTCTTGGCATAGTAGATGAACACTAGAAATGCTATTTTAGTATGACATGGCATGAAACTGGCATTCTCTGTTAGTTCTATTTCTCTGGTTTAGATAGTCAAACTCAACACTGGAAAACATCAGATGGTCCCTTGGGACAACATGCAGAGCAAAGGAATCTCCTAGGCTAGAAAAGGTGAGCTTCATACTCATCTTAGAGATCATCTGGTACTCTGGTTTGTCTCTGTTCAACATTCTGGGATATTCTGAGAATCAGGCTTCAAGGTGGAAGTAAGACTCTGCAAATGGTCCTTGGTTCCAGTGTTATTCTAGCTATTTTTGTTAGCTTCATTATATCTTCATCCCCACTGGCCTAGCCAATCAACTTGCCTGCCTGATCCAAATCTATACGATAAAACCAAGCACCCTAAAAATCCACTTTAATAACTGTTCTTATCACATAAACATATAAGATGTACCCCTTGCATCTGTCCTCCAATATATCATTCACATCAATGACCATTAGTTATGTGATGCTGATTTCTTAATGATTTGCTATTCTAGTCCTTAAAAACTGGTTATTGCCACATTTTTCAACCCTGACTGTTTTAGTGCCCAACCACAAAAGAAAGAAAGAAAAAGAAAGAAATACTCAAACGTTGTGATTTTTCACCTGCAGAATTTTTTGGGTCAGTGCCAGGCTCCGATCCTGACTTCCATTCAGTGCTGCCTACACTCCTTGCTGATATCACAAAGGTAAGTGAGTTTGTTGTTCTTTTGTTCTTCAAATAGGAACAAAGCCTCAAAAGCTTCCATCAAAAAAAAAAATCAGTTTAAAGACTGAACAGAGCAAAATCTTCTTTGCAATGCTGATTATAATTTTTTTCTGTCTTACAGGCAGTACTTTGTTGCCCACTTCCTGTTTCTATATTAATAAAATATGATACAGCTTGCATTTCAAATACCCTAAAATTCAAAGTTTTCTTCAATGTTATTAGATCTTTGTTTCAGTTAGTGTCAGGACTTGCTGTTTTGATAAAACAAACACATGTTCATGAACTGAAAAGAATACTTAAAGCAGAATATATAATTTAATATTAACTTTTGGAAATAGATATAAACATAAGCATACTTTATAAGCTTGTTCTTAAGTCTTAAGGTCTCACCTATATTTATTTATGAGGATTTCATAAGTATAATGTCTTCAAAATAAAATAATAAATTCTGGGACACCTGGGTGGTTCAGTCAGTTAAGCGGCTGCCTTCGGCCAGGGTCATGATCCCAGAGTCCTGGGATTGAGTCCTACATCGGGCTCCTTGCTCAGCAGGGAGCCTGCTTCCCCCTCTCTCTCCCTCTGCTTGTGCTCTCTCTGTCAAATAAATAAAATCTTTAAAAATAATAATAATAAAATAAAATAATAAATTCTGTAATAATTTTTGTACTTCATTTAAAGCTATGTCCACTTAATTTATGCCAAGAGTTGTCACTGGGGTATTCATAAATTGAAGTGCCGACTAAGCTCTATTCCTTCTTTAAATGAAGGAATTCATAAATTCCAACATGATAGACAATTCAGAGTATCTCAGTTATTAGTTCACCCTACCCAGGCAGACTCAGCCTGCCAAGAAGCCAACTGATCATATTTTGCCACTGTATCAATGCATGTTTTCCTTTCATGACAAATTTCTGTATCAGAACCTATATCAGAGTCCATAGCAGAAAAAAAAAGAATCCATAGTAGATTCAAGTCAACTACAAAATGATTGCTTAAATTTAAATGAAAGAAAAAATACAGAGTGTAGCCCTTCTCACATACAGGGAAGGTCACTTCTCAATATGTCTTTCTCAATTCATTCTTCAGGATGCTACTTTGAGTCCAGAACTTCCTCTTGGTCAATCCAGGCTTGAGACAGTGGGCAGAACAGGACACAGTATACCTGGTGAGTTTTTTTACCACAAAGTCTTATGTTAGCTGACTACATCCTCTGTGAGGAATCCCTCTATTATACTACCTCAAAGACTAGTGGTAAAGTCATTCTCAACTCAGGAGAAGGTTTCCTCACACCAGCATTTCCAAATGGAGAGCAATCCATTGAACCACCCTCTTCTGAAGAGGAGGACACCCTCAGTGTCCTTCCCTCAGCCCTGGGCCCTAGGCCCACAGAGAGCACTGACAACACTTTCCTGATGGATCTGGTGAAAGAAGCTGAAACCAAAGCAGTACCAACTGCTGCCACACAGAACAGCCATCTCTACCAGGCTTTGAAACTGAGAGTCCATCAGGACAAGGTAAGTCATTAGGGACAAGGGACTATGGCAACACAGTATTGGGCCTTTATAGTCAATATATGTATTCTGTTCGCCATATACAGGCTGACCATTCATATACCATCTGTTCTGCTGCATAGGTTTCCTTAGTGCCAATTAGCTCATGTGTAATTGAAAAGTAAGGATGTCAGTAAACATTGAAATCCTCTAGGTTCACTTTTGAATTTCCAAAACTGTTCATTTTTGAAGAGTTCAACTTTATCACAGTTAAAAAGGAATTTTTAGCAATTTATGAAGACTTTAAGAAGACAAATGAAAATTCTGCAGCAGAGTCTTTTTTTAGTGCAAGAAGGAACTGATTTAGTGGCTTCAGGAATCCCTATGCTTTCCACTTTATATAGCTCTCTGGTGAAACTATACATAAAAATGTCTTTAAGGAAACATGAACCCCAGGATGTAAGGCTAATAGGGATGAACTGTGATTCTAAGTGCAAATGACACAGGAGATTTGTTATAGCTGATTTCTTTTAAATTTTTTAATTCTTTTTAAAATTTATTTTTTTAATTCAAGTATAATTAACAGTGTTATATTAGTTTCAAGTGTACAATATAACGATTCAACAATTCTATACATTTCTCAGTGCTCCTCAAGATAAATGTACTCTTAATCCCCTTCACCTATATCACCCATCCCCCCCATGCACCTCCCATTTGGTAACCAAAAATTTTTCCCCTCTGTTTAGGAGCCTCCTTTTTTGTTTGTCTCTCTTTTACTTAGTTCATTTGCTGTTTCTTAAATTCCACATAAGAGCTAAATCATGTGGTACTTACCTTTAATATCTTATTTCACTTAGCATTATACATTCTAGGTCTATCTATGTTACTGCAAATGTCAAGATTTCATTCTTTTTATGACTGAGTAATATTCCATTGTGTGTATGTATGTATATATATATATACACACACCATATCTTCTTTATCCATTCATCTATCGACAGGCACTTGAGTGGCTTCCATATCTTGGCTATTGTAAATAATGCTGCAATAAACATGGGGGTACATGTATCCTTTCAAATTAGTGTTTCCATTTTCTTTGGGTTAATGCCCAGTAGTGGAATTATTGAATCATATGGTAATTCTATTTTTAATTTTTTGAGGAACCTAGTGTTTTCCACAGTGGCTGCACCAGTTTGCATACCCACCAACAATGCACAAGGGTTCCTTTTTCTCCACATCTTCTCCAACACTAGTTAATTCTTGTGTTTTTTATTTTAGCCGTTCTGACAGGTAGTCAGGTGACATCTCACGGTGGTTTTAATTTGCATTTCCCTCATCATTAGTGATGTTGAGCAATTTCTAGTGTATCTGCAATCTGTATGTCTTCTTTGGAAAAATATCTATTCAGTTCCTCTGTCCATTTTTTAATTGGATTATTTGGTTATTTTGGTGTTGAGTTGTGTAAGTTCTTTATGTATGTTGGATATTAACCCCCTATTGGATATATAATTTGCAAATATCTTCTCCCATTCAGTAGGTTGCCTTTTTGTTTTGTTGATGCTTTCCTTCATTGTACAAAAGCTTTTTATTTTGGTATACCCCCAATAGTTTAATTTTCCTTTTGTTTCCCTTGCCAAAGGAAACATATCTAGAAAAATATTTCTATAACTGTTGTCAAAGAAATTACTATGTTATGGTTGATGTTTTTAATACGATTATTACTGGTTTAGGTAGGGCTCTCTACAAAATTCTACAGGTTTTGAGTGGTCTACTTCAGTCCTACTTTCCTCATAAACCCTGTGTGCAATTAGTATGCAATTTTATGGAATACAAGTTTTTTTCTCAAATACATATTGGCACAAAAGCAGAACCATCTATAAAGATTATGTTTGGCTTACATGATTACCAGTGAATAAATTTTAACTGCATGATACAGTTACCTATTTCTGCCCTACAAACCATCCCCAAAGTTTGTGGCTTAAAACAGCATTCATTTATTTTGCCCATAAGTCTGAAATTTGGGCAGGGATCAGTGAGGACAGCCTTTCTCTACCCCATGTTGTGTCACCTAGAGTATCTCAAGCTAAAAGGTGTTGAGCATCTTTTTTCCAATTGGTTTACTCACATGGCTGGCAATTCAATGCTCAACCACAGCTGTTGGCTGGTGGAGGTGGCGGGGCGGGGGGGAGGCTCATTTCTTTTCTATATAGGTCTCTTTAACAGGGATACTTGGGCATCCTTAAAGCATAGCAGCATAGGTTTAAAGAGTCAGTATCGCAAGAGCCAGAAGGTGGAAGCTGTCAATCTCTTAACAGCTCAGAAACAGTGTCACTTCCTCACATTCTAATGACTAGACAGCCATATTGCTCATCTCAATTCAGGAAGAAAGAACATAGATCTTATCTCTAGATAGGAGAAGTATCAAAAACTTTATGGCCATTTATAATCCACTACAATCCACATCAACCACTATTTTGACTTTCAAATTATTTAAAAGTTGGTTGTAGGGGTGCCTGGGTGGTCACTCGGTTAAGGGTCTGACTTGATTTTGGCTCAAGTCATATCTCAGGGTCCTGGGATGGAGCCCCACATTGGGCTCCACAGTCAGTGGGGAATCTGCTTGAGGATTTCTCTCCCTCTCTCTCTGCCCCTTTCTATGCACTCTCTCTTTCTCTTTTTCTCACACTCACTAAAATAAATAAATCTTTTAAAAAAATTTTTTAAATAAAAAAAATAAGTTGGCTGTATAAAGCAAAGCAAACCTTTATGGTAAAGTCATTGATAGTAAATGTTCATTGGATTCCTTTCTTTCATTATGATATCATAAAATCTTATTAAAGATCAGCATTTCAGGAAGATTAATAAAAATGATACTGTATGATGAGTATGTTATTGTATTTTGAAATTGCTTTACTGTTCTCATTATATTTATACATTCCTTCCATTCAAGGTTATACTTTAGAACACTAAAGCTGGAAGGAATCTTAGACATAATCTAGTTAAGCTACTGTGCTTCATGGATAAGAAACTCAAGGCTAGAAATGTGAAGTGTCTTACTCAATGTCACACCATAGCTGGTTGCAAAGCCAGGACCATCTGTCCATTTTCCTCCACCCACTAAGTTATGTATGGCTTAACTACCCCATCATTAAAAAAAAATTCCCTCAAACTTCCTTTGCCTTCAAACCACAGCTTCTTTTCTATTTTACTACACTGTAGATTTTTTTTTAAGTTTTACTAAGGTTTCACCTCTAACCATACATAACAGGGACACAATTTTCCCAAAAATCACAGATGGCTTCCTAATTAATCAATTTAGCAGCCTCATTTCCATCTTTATTTTACTTGATCTTTCTGGCAAGGGCTCCTGTCAACCACTCTCTTCTTGAAACTCCTCCTTCATTTGGTTCCCACAAAATGACTTCTTGATGCTTTTCCTATTTCCTGACTCTTCCTCTTCAGTCTCCTGCACTGGAGCTTATTATTAGTTTTTTTATAATTTGTTTATTAAAATCCTACCTCATTCAAAAAGAGATTCATGATGATTTACAGACATGCAGGAAATACAATAAGATTTTAAAGAATTGAAAAAAATAGAAGAAAAGATAAAGCAAAAAAAGTCAGATGACTCAAAGTAATAAAACAATTTTGGAACTAGATAGAGATAGTATTTGCCAACATTGTGAATTTACTAATTCATGATTACTGAATCATTCACTTTGAAATGTTACGTTTCACCTCAATAATTTGTTTTTTAAATCAGATGACTCTAGAGAAAATTGTACACAAAATAAATATTATACAGTTCTTTTTTTTATATTTTATTTATTTATTTGACAGAGAGAGAGAGACAGCGAGAGCAGGAACACAAGCAGGGGGAGTGGGAGAGGGAGAAGCAGGCTTCCCCGCCGAGCAGGGAGCCCAATGCGGAGCTCGATGCGGGGCTTGATCCGAGGACCCTGGGATCATTACCTGAACCGAAGGCAGATGCTTAACGACTGAGCCACCCAGGTGTCCCAAACATTATACAGTTCTTTAAGTTAACTTGTGAATTTGCCTCTGAGTTTCTTAGCACTTGCTTCACTGGAGAGGCATAATGAATGCCAAAGCCTAGTTCATTACAACAGTTCTATGAGGGGCTAGGTTCTAACAGTCTGCCTTAATTCAAGGACTGATTGATTTTAGAGTATCCATTACAGAGGAATGAATGTGCTGCATAACTTTTAGTCAATGCTCCATAAATAAAAATTATATCTCATAACTCAGCTTTTGATTAGTATTGACCAAGAAGCACTGCATTTGCTGACATGGGCCTAGAATGCACATATTCTATGTTGCCAATTAAAGGCAGAGCCGTATGCTTTCATAATCAGCCGAGCTGGGGAGTGAAATGCCATATCTTAATGAAAAATGAAAACCCTAACTAAGAAGTATCCTAATAAAAAGGCCTTCTACTTATATACATGGAAATGGGGGGAGGGGAACACAAGCATTCTAGACAAGACCAAAGCTTCCCTCTCACATAAGACAGTTCTGGGTCTCTCCCATGCACAGGTAAAATGACAACCAGGACTCCAAAGTTCCTACACCATGGTATTACTGAGATAAATTTAGCCTGGAAAATTTTCAAGGTTAGTGTCACCAAACACCCACCAAGCCATTAAAATCTCAATAA